ACATGGCGGCCCCGATCGCGACAGCGGTTTTAATCGCGGTAGCGGCCTGCGCTTTGGGAACCATTGCCGTGTTCACCTTGGATGTGCAAAGGCGTGTTGGCAGCGCAGACCAGCAGTGGGTCTCTGCAGAGGCTGGCAGCTGCCTGCCGGCCCGTCAATGTGGTGGGACGTGGTTCCTCTTGGCCCTGTGTTTCCCAGATGCCAGCCAAAATGATGGCAAGTTCACTAGAAAATGCCCTCCCCCCCCGGCCTTAACATTACTGAGGACTCTTTACAGGCTAAAAACACCACACAGGCAGCGCGTATCTTTCTGTGCACCCTGAGTGCCCCTGGAGATGGAATCTATCTAAATACTGCTCTGCCTGTGGGAAATGTGAAGCATGTGCTTTACGTTTATTGTTTGGCATCAATTTAATCTATGTGTGGGGCTAATGTATTGCATTTACCTTCTGTATTAAATTGATGTAAGTACAAATATGATATACTTACTCTGTGAGGCGCTTTCTGGAAAAGAGCAGGGGACTACTTCAGGACATGTATTTATATCTTCTTAATTTATTCTAAGGGTATAACTCTTGATGTTCGGCTTTGATTTTGTCTGCATTTTGTACTTTTTGCTTTGAAAGAGAATAGTTCTCAACAGGCCTCAAAGTGTCTGCTAATGTGACAGTGATGTACTCTCTCCTTTCTGTGATTCATTTTAATGCCAGTTCCTCTCAGTTTGAAGGATGCTGTCTGTGCGTTTCAATGAAAAGGTCATATGAATGGAATTTTGCAGGTGAACAAAATTAAATCCTCACAGACTAGTTTTCAGCGAGAAAAAGTGTTTTAGCAGCTGGAACCAGAGAATGTTTCTGGAATAAAATCCAGATGTTTCTATCACAGTGGTGCAGGAACTACCATTCTGTTACAAGTGATTGAAATTTTAAATAGCCTGCTCTGACTTCAGACAGATGAGCCTATGGAGAAAAATGAGTGTTCAGCAACATTTCATAAGTCTTAAGATTTTTCCAAAAGACGTGTGATAAGAATATGTGTTTAAACATACCTTTAAAGTAGCATTATTCTGACTTCAGTAAAGACTAAAGATTCGGAAGTTAAAGCAGCTGCTTTAACTTTCCTGTCGAGCCAGTGAACTGGACAATGACGTTATGAGAATAAGAAAATCTGAAAAGCAAATTTTATGTAGTGCTTCCACTATCTACTTTATAGCACGGTTCAGCTTAAACCATATCGCTCCAGGAATATGCGCTGATTTATACCAGATGGAAAAAAAAAAAAAAAATTAAGTTTGGGTTTCTAATTTGTGATCTGTGAAGAATGTTGGTAATGTAATAGTTACTTGGTTTTGTTTGTTCTTTGTTTCCAAAAGGGAACTTACTTTCTCTGATTATCTTTTACTTGAGAAAGCTAGGTCTTTTTACACCAGAAGTTCTTTGGATAGCAGGAAAACTAGTGGGGTTATAATGTTACAAAAGAATGGAAAAGAAGCAGTCGAAGGGACTGCTTATTCTGTTTGGTGTTTGCTTTTTTGTAACACCAGTGGAACTCAACCACCTGAAAAATATCTGAGAGAAAGAAAACTTTGGTACAAAATTTGCCATTGCTGTCTGTTTTAATAAAAAAGCTAAAAGTTGGCATGTATGCCTTTTCTGTGTCCTCCAGGAGAACCAAAGAATGACAGGCTTGATATTCCAGTGGAAGAAGTGGAATGCCAGTGCAGGACCGCAATGGAGGGAAGGAAAATAAGGCTACAGAATATGTAGAAAAAGAAAAAGTACGAATACCCATTTGCTTTTTCCTTTCTGAGGTACTGCACTTAAGTGCATTGCTGCATTTTTGCAGGACTGCCAGATTTTTGCAGTGGTGTCTTAAGTTACAAAGCTAGGCATTGCTATGGCAGAGGTATTTTAGTGCATTTTTTGTCTTAAAAAATAAGAAAATGTATTTGAATTAAAGAAATAGCCACTGTGTAAGTCAGAAGTCTAATCCTGTCCCACTGGAAGGGAATGAACTGCTGAGTCTACAGCATGCTATATTTTTCTCAAGAAAAATTCAAAAAATAGGTGGATGCTGATAGATTCAGTACTAATATGACAAACTGTTTGTGCCACCCTGGTCAGGAAATCCCTATCCTGGTAAGTGTTCGGAGGAAAACAGGTCCCAGAAGTGATTCCCAAAGAGTGAGGGATGCTCCTCCCAAATTACTAGGTAAATATATGTGCACAGTAGTGGCTGAGAAGCGTGAAAGATCTAAGCATTAAAAGTCAATTGATGTATTTTGCTAACTATAATGAAATTATTAGTTTAGACCCATTTGTCTGTGTCACTCAAGCTTGTGACATTTTTACCAGAGTTACGTTACTTACATCTTCATTGATGAATTAGCCTAGGTCTGTTACCAGCCGCACTTTAATGCCACATGAAATATTGGTGCTGTGTGCTGTAGTATATGTCAGTAGGACTTCTGGGAGGAAGCACATCCTGTAGGTTTTTGTGTGTGTGGTGACACTCTAGACTTATTGTTGAAGGATTATCAATAGTTAAGTGATATAGCCTATGTCTTTATTGGAAAATAGTTGCTTTACCAGTCGAAGAGAAAATGGAAATCAGTCTCTAGTGTAAGCTAACTTAAAATGAAAGGATGGTTTGTTTTAGGTGAGAGGTCTTAGTGTGTAAGAAGTTAATCCATAACTGAGAGGAAGAGCTTGCTTTATACATTAATTAGTAAGGTCTTAATATTTTTATGATAGTGTCTTAACAGGCAGCTAAACATGGGTCTTTTTTATTCTAGACATTAGACACAGGCGGAGGGAATGAATATATGACAGGATATTCTCTATGATTAGCTAGGCAAAATGCAGGAAGAAGAGTGGTTCAAGAAACTTTGTTCACTTTCCTTCAGGCTTCTGCTCGGGTCCAAGGTTCGGGCTCAAGCTTCACATGAGAAAGAGACACTGTTTACAACTGTGCAGGCAGTCATTCTCATGAACCTCTCTCACGTAGCCTTTTTTTTTTTTTTACAAGAATAGCTTGATTTGGTTTAGCTTAAATACTTTGTTACTGGATGTGCTAAACCCAAAAAGCCATCAGAAGAATAAAAAAATGCACATGGATTGTGGCTAGCTTTGTCTCTGTACAATTCTATCAGTGTGTAAACTTACATCCTAGTTCTATTGGAAAATTATTTTCCCTATGTATGGACCTATACATGTGTATAGGTGTTCTTGTGTTAACAGGACCAGTCTATAGTGGTCTTGTAGCTAGGTAGTATTTTCCTTCGCATGCAGCTGACATGAATTTACTCACAAGGAGGGGCTATAAGATTCTTTAGATGATAGAAAACATAGGAACACAGTTTTCTAAAATTTCATCATCCCAATAACATCTTTAGAAGTGTAACAGTGCTAATTAGTGCATTATTTTAATGCACAGATAGTACAAATCACACACCCACAGCATTTATTTATGTATGTGTTTTCACAAGAATGATCTCAAAGTGCTTTTAACATTATTAGGCAAATGTGATGTCCAAACTGAAAGGAATTTTACTTGAATAATTATCTAGCTAATTGCTGTAGAAGGTATATATGCATCCAGTTACCTTTAAGGGGGAAATGGCAATCATGTAACACAGTACACCAATGTGGAGAAAACAAAATTTGGCTAGAAATGGGTATAAGGACACAATATACACTTATAAAAATTGCAGAGGAACCTCTGCTGTCCACAAAGAACAGTGTCTGCCTTGGAAACCTGAAAGGCCAAATTAACCATGATAGGACTTTTATTTATGATTCAGGGCAGAGAAGAAAGTGCAAATTCAATTTTAAGGTTATGAAGACATCCCTTTGCCTCAGGACTACCATGTTGGTAGAATTTTATTGCTTTAATACCGCTGAATTTAATCACTTTAAATCTTCAACAGTTGCATTAGTATTTGCAATTTCAGCAATACTTTGATTCATTGGCCTAGTCCAGAGTGAGTTTCATGGTCTGCCACACACTGTGATTGATTGCTATTGTCCCCGTCAAAGTCCAAGCTTTTATACCTATTGAAGAACTTGGTACCTTTTTCATTGTGCACATACTAGCAATTTTTTCTGTCTTCATATGACAAGAGATTTTGCTTTGTTAGATGTTACAGAATATGCCTTTTGATTAATCTCTCGCACACTGTTTGATTAATGTGTAGAAAGAGTCCAGCGTTTTGGTATGTGCCACCTAATCTCCATGCCAATTATTTTTTCCACATAAAATTTGACTATGTGAGTTGTCTCTGAAATTTTCTAGTCATTGCTAGCGAATGTGGGAGCACGTAGCAGA